TACCGGGAGGGCAGCGGCGGCGCCTCTCCCGTGTCCCGGTCCTCTCAGGAGGCCGGGCGGCTCGGGGCGGCGGCAGCGGCCGGCAGGGGGCGCTGGCGTTCCGCGGCCGCCTCAGCGGCACCACCGGGCAGAGGATGCCGTCCTCGCCGCCTTCCCGCCGGACCGAGCTCCGCCGCCTTCCCCCGCTCCTGGCCGGCGGGTGCGTGGGGCCGCCCCCCCCGGGGGAGAGTCCTTTCGGCGGCGGGCGTTGGCGGGGGGTCGCCCACGGCTGTCTCCCGTTCCCCGCAGCGGGGCCGGGGGCCCTTCCCAGGAGGAAGGCGCCTCACGGTTTGCCCGGGGCTTGCCTCGGCGGGGAACGGGGCTGGCAGGCCGTAGGGCAGGGCCCGGGGCTGGAAGGATCCCGGCGCCTGAGGATGCGGTCGGTGCCTCGGCGGCCCTGGGCTGCGGGGCGTCTCTGCTCCTCGGGGCCCGGCGGGCGGGCTCCCGGGGCGAGGGGACACCCTCCTGTGCCCCCGGGAAGGCCCAGGCTGCCCGCAGGCAGTGAGCCGAGTGACGGAGGTCACCGCTCCCACCTGGAGGCATTTCCCACCTGGTGGTTTCTCCAAAGGGAGGGGTGAAAACTTACAGAACGCATCCAACACTGCTGATTGGTTTGTTTGCTTGTTTGTTTTCCAGAAAGCATCCAGCTGTTGGACGGTGTTTTGCAGAACATCCATAGCGGATCCGGCTATTCCAGATAATCCCTCGTTTGTTTTCATGGCGGAATTTATGACATCCAAAGCCAACGGTGTACTCACCTGTGGTCACTTTGCTTTGCAAAACGCATGCTGGAAGTGAATTCACACACTGCTCTGGGGGTCCCTTTGTGGTTTTCCTTACACTTATTGGCAAGGCAAAAGTTTAATAAGTTTTGTGACGGTTGCTGGCTGGGTGCAGAGGTGATGGCAGTGAGAGGGCTGAGCCCTGGCACAGCCTCTCCTCTGTCAGAGAGTGTCCTACGAACTGGTGCTAATGGGGCAGCAGGTCCTCTGATACATCATCCTCTAATTAGCACAGTGGTTCATTTTCCTCAGACCACAGCAAAATTACTGTTTGGATGATGTGACTATGATATCATAGGGCTGCAGAGTGACTAGTGCTGTTACAAGAACAGAAAAAAAAAGAAAGAAAGAAAGAAAAAAAAAAAGAGTCGCTCACCTCTTTTAACTTTCTGGATACATTAGGGCTACCAGCTACCAGGAGGAGTTTGTAGGAGCAGATGAGGCAGATACACAGTGTCGATTTGCTTCCCCTGCCTGACCCCAGCTGGGCCTACAGGGTAGAGGGAAAGGAAAGGGCATAGCTGGAAATGAATGGAAATGAAGAAGGTTCAGTTACTTCATTGTAAAGACAGATTTTGAAAAATACCGCTCTACCCGTGAGGGCCCCCAGGAGGGATTTTTCCTCTGAGGCTTGCTGTCACCTCTCTCTCCCCTTGTGATTGTACCTGGTGGTCCCATCTAGCCCCATAATAATGCCAGTCCTTCGGGAGATAGGAGGTAAGATGGAAAATTTGCTGTCATAAAACGTTACAATTTGGAGAAACCACATGAGGTGGGGGTGCAGTACCTTCGGGGGTGTCTGAGTTTGTGCTGCAGCTGTGGTCAGCTGCGGTCTCTCTGAGGAGGGCTGTTGGCAGGGTAGGGCATTCCTTCTGAGAGGGCTACAAATTTGGCACTTTCTGCCCCGTCTGGGTGAAGAGCTGTCTGTGTGATGGGGGTTTCAGAAAGGCTGAGAGTATGTTTCTCATAATGACAGCGTGGACAGGAGTCTTGGGAGATCCGTAGCTGGCTGGCTGTCCCCAGGGAAGGCAGCTTGACTGCTGCTAGGACCCTGTTACTAAAACGATGCCAGGATACAAAGTGTCTCAGTTAATCCTATTTATTAGTATTTTTCTGTAAAAATCAGTATTCAGATTACAAAATAAAAAAAAAAAAAACTGTCCCTATGAGAAATTCTGATGTTTTTCAGGAATTTTAAATCCAGATGGAAATAATGGTGTAGTTTTGCAAAGTGAAACACACCAACATGTTTTAATTTGTTTTCAGTATTTCAACTTTTATGGGAGATTTCATTATATAACTGCAAAAAATTGAAGCTGATGAAATGAAAATGAAATGTTTCCTCAATTTCCTATGAAAGGAACAACAAGAACAAAAAAGAATTTTCATTAAATACTGGTATTTTGTGGAATCAGGATTTTCCAGGAGCCGTGAACTATTTTGGAAAATTTTCAGTCAATTCCAATGGGAACCATATAATCAATATTGATAAGACATTTTGGTGACTAGAACTCCATCCACCAGGATGACAGAATCACAGACTCACAGGATGAAGGGACCTCTGGAGATCATCTGTCATTTAACACATTAAGATCAGGAGAGATCATTTCTAAGAAAGCTTTGGTGTAGATGGATGCCACTGTTGTTACAACAAACTTCATCTGGGATGTTTCTTCTTCATTTGTGTCCCCATGAAGTATTAATACTATGGGCATCGCATAACTTTCTATTTTTCTGGTATATCTCATTTTCTGAAGTGCCTTGGCAGCATTTCAATTTTTTCCTCAAAGTGATCTTTTAAATCCAAACAGCATTACTGTTTTCTCATGCTTGTTAATGTTATGTTCTGTTTGTTTTTTGTTTTATTTTGAAGGATAGTGTTAGGAAGATAATGAAGCTGAAAACAGGCTGATAAATAATAGCCACGCTCAGGAAAAAAATATCTTGAGGATTTTAGAAATCTGATTAAAACACGCACATGAATAAGTAGATATTACTGTTAAAATGAAATAATAATTTTCTAAAACCAGTTCAGTAATTGTATGTGTGAGTGCTTGTATATTCCTATTAGAGTGCAGCAGTTAGAGCTAACAGCCCCACTACTTGTTCTTTTGAAATTCAAATGAATAATCATCTTTTCATTATCTAGGTCAGTAGAAGGCTGGGCTACCCCAGGAAGTGGGAGAAAACAGGTAAAACAGGATTCACCGGATGGTTTTTAATGCCTGTCCCCTTGGAGGGGGGCTGGTTTTGCGGGTCTGCCTCTACACTGGGCTTCCTAGTGCTCCAGTCTGGGGGGAAAGTGTTATCCTGAGTGTAGTGCAGCATGAATATGAAATACCAGTGACAACACTGAGGTCTCCCGGTCTGGAAGCTGGTGAGATGCCTCCAAAGGCCTGAAGCTAGCTGGCAGAAAATGTTTCACGCGGGAACACAGGCCCTCTGAACATGCTTACATCTGCCCCCATTGGAGCTGAAAAAAATTGAGGGGATCCATCTTTTGTAAGATGCTCTTCTTGCAAGATTTTGACTGCAAAACAGGAGTTAAATATGGACAAAAAGAAGTTTGTTGTGAAAGAAACAGTGTTTCAGAAAAGGCAGAGGGTATGACCTCTCCTTATAGTGACCTCTCTCTGTGTTAGATTTCAGTGAACTGAAACGCCAAGATTTTTACTGGGCGAACTCTGGAGACAAATAGTATTACTAGTGCAGTGTTCTTTCGGTTATTTATTTCATGCCTGTTCTGAATTGAACTGCAGATTTTTGTGAGGAGAGCCCAAAATGACTTTGCATGGGGAATGTGTGGGAAAACCGGAGTTAGGCACCTTCTGCAAGGTGTGGGAAGTGGTTTCAGGCACAAGCTGTAGATCCAAAATGGAGGAAGAAAGAATTACAGCGTCAAGAGAGTTTTGTCTTAACGGGAAACATATGACGAATTCTGAACGGAGGGGTCACACCCGAGGTTAGATCACAGACGCATTTCCTAGGGATCTTTTCTGGAATAAATTCCTTGAGTCTTGCAGGCACCAGGCAAAAAATAAGCTGTGGTCCTACCCCGTCAGCTACAGGGCAAAATCGTGAAAAGGCACCGGCTGTGCTTTTTGTGATTTGGTGGATCTTGCCTTCACTACAGTTTGCATCTTAAGCTGCTAATTCACATGAAAAAGTCAGCTTCCTTGTCATCTCTAGGAAGATGGCATCTTCTCCTGGCTGCTCAGCTATGGTACACCAGCTACCGCACACTCTTGGAGTTGAGATTGTGTAAGTCTGTGGTTTCCACAAAGGCTTTGTTTTGAAAATAAAAGTATGTAGGTGCCCGGAGTTGACACACGTAACAACTGAGTTTCAGAGTGAGAGTGAAATGCTGTCATTTAACTGACACAGAGTAATCATTCGAGGGGATAAACTAGTTTGCTCAAAATCTGGAAAAAATTCACATCCACTTTGAAACTAAACGCATACGAAGGTATCCAAATGTACTTGACCTTGATTTTGTGTGCTGAAACCTTTATTTTGCCAAAAGTATGTGCATCATCTACAGCTCTGGTGAGGGCAGTGTGGGGGTCCGTTTGCTGGCTGGCTGGTGTAGCCTCTTTCCAGGCGGTGTAGCCCTCTGCTGCTGGAGAGGTCCAGTTGGAGCCCAGAGGAGCTGCCAGTGGGAGCAGGAGCAGCTCCTCCTAGCTCACCTTCTGCCAGAGCTCAGGATCCAACTTACTCATTGGCCGATGCACAACTCTACTCCTGGTCACGTAACAGAAATCTGACAAAAGAACTGCCCTTGAACTGCTCGCTGCCTGTAGGTACCTCCAGAAACAATGTTTGACCGCTGTTTGTAAAGACATGGTCAACAAAGACATCTCAAGACACAGATATTGTGTGCATGGGTTGAAACAATCCAGGAGCCAGAAACTGAGCAGAACGTAACCCTATTTTTGCATCTATGTTGTGTGTCCAAGTCTGGCATCCTGGAGTGTGTTGTTGCTCCACCATCCTCCTCAAAGACATTGTTGGACGACAGCCCTGTCTCACTGGCACAATATGGATGGGCCATTTCCTCTCAGCCCCAACATACCCGTCTTACACAAGGAGACCTTTTAAGATACCAAGACGTATCACTTAAAATTATTCGTGATATCGTCCTGATTGCAAAGTACAACTTCCTAAAAAAAAAAAAAATTCCAAATGCGTTTTTTGGGCATCATGTAGACTGCAAACAACTTTGTGCTCTAAGAAACGGCATAAAAAATAGCATTGGGGTGTTCCACTGACACTGCAACCCTCTCAGAATTTCTGTTTGCAAGACAAAACACGGTTTTCTTTCTGGTTGTGAGACTGAAACCCGTCCCTGCAAGTCAGAGGGGGTCCCTTCCATCTCACAGATCATTGCAGTAGGAGTAGTTCTGTTTAGCAGATGATTTCCTCAGCCACTTGTGTGTAACCCTATTGATTTGAGCGTCTGCCCCCAGCAACACCTGTGCAAATTCACGGATGGCACTGGGATTGCACAGATGCCATGGAGGGCATATTCTGGCATACAGGATATTTATTACTGGTGGTGATGCATGAGATGGAAGGGATCCAGGACTCAGGCTGAGTTTGTGCAGCTGGCAGTCAGAAATTTACTTGCAAACGGAGCTCATTGGGTAGGAAAATCAGTGTGATAATGAATCCAGAGCCCCCAGTGCCGTTTTTACCAAATCGCTTTTTAGGGCAGGAGAACAATTTTGAAGAGTTGTGTCTCTTATTAAAAGTGTCTGAAAATTGTACTTGAAAAAAAAGTGAAGGGGATCCCATAAGAGATTATATGGCGGTTATTTGGTATCAGAAATTACTGTCACTAAGCTTGTTTAAACGGAAATGTTTACTTCTTTCTACTGAAAGCTTGAAATATGTAAATTTAATAACTGAATTTAGCACAAAATTTTAATTTTAACTTAATCTTAATTAAATATTCAGCAGCCAGCTACATGAAATTAAAAAGAAAACGATTATTTTTAACAGGTTCTATTTTGATTGATATGAAATTTTCCACAAAATTCAAAACAATTCAAAGTGGCAGAGGTTATTCATAATACTGTACATTTATATTGTTGCCCTATAGAAATTGAAATCCATAGTGTTTTAGCAGGTCTCTTAGGAAAAAGTGTTGTACCTTGAACCAATTATAGGCCATCTCTGGTTAAATTGCAGAACCAGTTTGCTTAATATGGGTAATTTGATGTTGTAAATTATTTGTC